GAGACGATCCATTGCCATCAGCGAATTCGACGAATTCGAAAATTGTCGCGCGCGCGCGTCTCTGATTCCAGTTGCACGGCGTACGACTCGTCAATATCCTACGCCGAACTCCACGGTGTCCTCTGTCCAGATCATTGTTAATGGCAACTATCCTTATTAGCTGCTGATATCCCTCCCATGAAGCTGAAAAGTTATGGGCTCGTACGTGAGTGAGTGGAAATATAGGAAATTTCTACGACTGAAGATATATCTAGGGATACAAATCAAACTTTAACCATGATCAGATATAGAAATTACTGGCACTTTCACATACAAAATTATATTTAAAAGAAGTTGAAACTTCTGCATATGAACTATACCCTAGAACTCCACTAAATCTGAGCCGATTTCATTAAGAAAAGACTTGCTGTGCTCTGCTTTACAAGTAGATTAATTAAGCATTTAATGCTCTTACAAAAACTGTATAAATAACTATATAAATGCGCAAATGAAGACTTCTCTTCAGTTGAAAATTGCAACCATCATCAGAAAACTCTTCTGAGCACTAGAATACCCTGCATGGCCATGAGCTGTTACAGCTGCAATCGAAACACCTATCGACAGACACTTGTCTCTATTTCCATGAGCGGCAATTGCGATCTAAAAAACCATCAATCTTCGAATGAGCGCTGTTGAAACGGCTGACACGGAAGGTGTTAACAAGGCCCTCACAGGGAGACTGTGTGGAAGGCTGAACAATTCACGAACAATTTATATCTCAGGGCCATAAACAGACGCAGACGGACAGAGTCAATGCATAATTCCCCTGCATTTCATTCAGCTTACGAGGTCATCATGGGCCCAACAATGCGAATAAGTGTGACAGGAGCAATTATTGCCTGATCCTGATGTGATGTCAACACACAAATACGAGGAGTAGCAGCGGCAGAGGCAACTCAAAGACGATGTTGCAGGCAGTTGACATTGAGAGCTGAGAACAGAACAGAAGCCAAGGACGAAGGCGACGCGTGACGCATTGGGAAAATATTTGTACAAAAACATTGAGCAAACACTGAGAAAAAGGAGCACACAGCGTCAGAGCAGCCTTGACTTTGATTGGTGCCGACTGTCGAGACTGTCGTGACTGTCGTGACTGTGGACTGCCCAAGGCCCAAGGCCCAAGGCCGGAACGTTTGAGCTGACCTCGAGAGGAGTCTGGACCAGCGTCTGTGGGACCAGAGTCTCTTGAACCAAGGTCAGTGAAAATGTCCTGCACTGTCCCATCATTCGAATGAGCCATGGCAAATGATTGCAGATTGGCAGCCTTGCTGAGTGAGCAGTTCGTACCCTGGTAGCCAAAGCTGAAAATTACTTCATCGCTGCAGGTCTCCGGCTCCGGTCTCCACCAGCAACATCTGGCAGATTGATGCCTCAGCTTTCAGAGAGCTAACGACTTGATCTGTGCACTTTAATGGCTAAATCAAACAAATCGCATAACGCACACGGAAAATTTTGAATAATTCCCCCAAACGTTTCTCACTAATTAGCCGCCGATTGAGGCAATCAAATTGATTGCACTCCCAAGCGATCATCCATCGATGATGCCCCAAAGAAAACCTCACGCTGTGCCAGTGCCTGTGCCCGGGCCCCCTCTCTCTCTCTCTCATTCTCCGTCTCTGGGGCGATACTCTCTCGGGTTAGACGGATTGACGCTGATACTATATATAGAGATATCGGAATCGTGCGGGAATTTACACCACTCGAAGTTGTTTGTTTTGTTTGTTGATAATTTTTCTCGGCCCTTTACCATTTTATACGCAGCGGGCAGTCGACTGTTTCACTCTGATAACGAGTGTCGATCTAGTCGATCCATCCCATAAACCCCCTCCACACCTTCACCATCCACCAGTCTCTGTTGCCGCACAATTAGCATTTGGTATCGGCGTAATGAGCAATGCTATCTAACGATTCCCCCCACTAGGCGGAGGAGGAGGCGGAGGATTCAGCATTGACTTCAAAGACAAACCACACAGCGTGTGACCATCGGCAGCCCCACACAAACTAGGAAAACAAACAAAACTCTTGGAGTAGCAACTGAAACTGGAGTATCCCATCCCAGTGGCAGAGTGGCAGAGTATCTTATGTAATGCCTAACTCTGGGGCATCCATATGCATGGGGAAATCTTTTGAAGTCTCAAATATTAATGGGCATCTCAAGCAGCAGGCTCTGCAATTGATAATCCAATTCGGGCACTAGATACTGTAATTACAGTGTAAACTATGCAGTTTTAATTGGGGATTTTGGTTTAGTTTTAGTCGGAAAATATTACCAAGAGTTTCCTGTTTCCCTTATTCAATCTACTGGTGGGAGAATCAATCTGGAATATATATGCAATCTGCCACTGATTCAATCTGCTTTTTTGCTTTACTTTACTTAGCTTATCTGCTTCCACTAATGATTCTGGCTTGACCAAAAGCGGCAGCTGATGATGCTAAATGATGATGATGGCAGAGAGAGAGAGAGAGAGAGAGAGAGAGAGATTGAGAGACTGTGACAATGCCAATGCTGGGAATTAACACACTCGCCTCCTCCAGGCGCGTGCCTGTTCTACCTTCCCGTCCCGTCCCGTGCATTTATCAATAATATCTGACCGACCCACTGGCTGTCTGTCTGGGCGACAGTTTACCCTCATGAAAGTGCCAAAAATGTGCAACGCCGTCTGCGGAAGGAAGGAAGGAAGGAGGAACAGGGAACAGTGGACGGGAACGGGAACGGGGACCAGGGATCACGTGGTCCAGGGCCAGGGACAGGGGGACACACTGCAGCCACTCCGACACAATGGGATGGTCCCGATTCACTGTCAAGGTAATTTATTAATTCGACAATAAAAACGCACGAATTCTTGGTTTGAGATACGAATCCCCGATGCCCGGGGTTCGCACTCGGCATCGGCATCGGCCTCGGCCTCGACTTTGGGCTTCTGGCTTGGGGTGTGTTGTGGTCGGACACTCGCATGTGGGCCTTACAACTCAATTAAAGTTGCCTTGGTCCTGGTCGTGGTCCTGTTCCTCGTACTGCTGCATTTCTTTTGGAGAGTATTTTATGGCCATGTGTGTTGCGCTTAGGGTTAGGGTTAATCTGTGATGTTGAGCGAATGGCAGCCAATCAGCCGTAAGTGAGAAAGTTAAGTGGTCTACGAGCAGTAAAATAAATGCACAATTAAATTTAATAAACGTTTGCTATATATTCAGAGGAATCATATATGATTTACGGCTGGAAAACATTTAAGATGAATTAATTATTTTGTGTTTAAATTATTCAGAATATAATTGCATTGCAGCATTGATTAAGATTTGGAAATGGAGTGAGTAGAACTCTGAATCTGCGGTATAAGATTACTGAGAGAGAGTTCTTCTTGGCTTTCTTTGGCACACTTTCCATCAATCTGCCACTCTACATGGAACGTTCAGTGTTAAATCTACTCTTAAGCCAGAAACCAAACTCATATCCGTTACCAATAGAGCAATCACAGGGAGTACGTGGCGAGTGGGCCCGGCTCGGGGTCCGATTCCTTTGCTGTCAAACTGAAAAACGCCATAAATTCTGTCCAACAATGGAAGCTGTCGCAATGCACATGGGGGATGGGCTGGGCTGGGCCGGGATGGGAGTAGTAGTAGGGGTAGGGGTAATATTCGCACATGCACCAAACTGCACACATATGTCAGGACTGCTGCTATCGACTATATCCAGTCCTAGGGGATGGCTGGCCTACGGGGGTGGCTCTGGCTCTGACTCTGGGCCCGTACCCCGCCTGGTAAGCCGATCAGAAAGTCGTGTAAACACAAAAAGTAGGCGAGAATTGTTGGTTCTTTTTAGCAGTCAATTTAGTTGAGCGGCTTTTGGGTCGACTTGCGAGGGCTATGCAAATACAAGTGCTTCAAAAGGGAGTTGCACTCTCAGAGGGCGAGGGAGAGGAAGAGGGAGGCAGTTGCGCACTTGCTCGTGGACTGTGTTGGCCACGAGTGCAAACAAAAAGCGCAAACACGCGACCCCTGGGCCAAGGAGCACGCGCAATTCTCGCAGTTCTTCCAAAATGTAAGAATAAACGTAATGTTATCCTTTTGGCAGCCCATTCCAGGACGATGCAGCACTATACGCGGATGATTCCGAGAACAACTGGCATCAGCCATCAGTTCCTTCGTTCGGTTCAGAGCTGCGCGCTGTGGAAAAAATCCAGAGAAATTTTTACGAAGGGCCCAGCCAGCAGAACGAACCATAAATCGGGGCCGTAGGGAAAAAGCCCATTGTTCGGGCACAGAGTTTTCAGCAACAGTTTACAGTTCCTTTTTATGTCTTTATGATTATTGCAATTAAGGAGAGAGAAATGCGAAAGCAGCAGCACCAGCAGCAGCAGCAGCAGCGGCCGTCCCGCTCGCCCACCCATCTATCTGCACTCCTCATCTGCCTCATCTACCTATCGCTGGGCTATAATTACGACAAGGTCCTCGCGCACGACAAGCGTCTCAAGGCTCAAGGCTCAAGGCTGGAACCGATACGATTCGATCGCTGCTCTGGAGGGGAAATGCTCTCGGCTCTCGGTTCGGATAAGTTCTGTATGTTTCGCGATGATAATGGGCGCGATGGGTAGGTAATAAGCAGCACAGCAGGTAGGCTGCCCAACGGATAACTTGCACTCGCATACGGATAAACTCTGCGCTGCGCTGCGCTGCTACCCCTGCTCTGTCGCAGCAGCCATAAACTGCAGCAAGGACACAGCCAGCCCAGTGAGGCGGTCGGGGCAGAGGAGGGGTAGTTCTCCGGGCCCAGCATGTGTCAAAGTGTCATGCGCAGGGATATTTATGCGCTATGACGACGAGCGTGTGCCGGGCATCAGTGGAAGTTCGTTTGCGTTTGCTATATTAGGCAGGATCTGTGGCAGGAGTAGCTCATTCGCAAACGCATCAGCGTCGCGCACACATCGCACACTCTCCGAGCAGAACACAGTCCCAGAGAAGCAGCCATGGCCACCACCAACAGTCAGAGCCACTATTACGCCGATAACATGTACAACATGTACCACCTGAACAGCCACAGCCACGGCCACGGCCACGGCCTGCCCACGCCCACGTACTATGACAACAGCTACTACCAGAGTGCCTCCACACAGAGTGCCGCCAGTCAGTGGCAGCCAACGGCAGCCAGCTATCAGAGCAGCTACGGAGCAGCAGCCGCTGCCTATGCCCCGGAGAGCTACTCCGACAGCAGCTGCTACTACGCCCAGAGCAGTTACAGTCCCATCGATGCGACAGTCACCGCTCCACAGATGGCCCCGGCACACCAGACCGAGATCCGTGCCGCCTCGCCCGTGAAGTCTCTGAAGCGCAGGGCGGAAGTGGCTGCCGCCATCATCGCCGGCGTCGAGGAGCGACCCAGCACACTGCGTGCTCTGCTCACCAATCCCGTGAAGAAGCTGAAGTACACGCCCGACTACTTCTACACCACCTTCGAGACGGTGAAGAAGACGGGAAGCACGGGAACAGCAACAGGAACAGCCACAGCCACAGTGCCAGCTCAGCTGAAGGCCAGCTGCAGTCCCGCTCCCAGCTACGAGCAGGAGTACGTGGCAGCACCCACGCCCAGCGCCTCCGAGGATGTCGACTATCTGGATGTCTACTCGCCACAGTCCCAAAAGAATCACAAGAATGGCGAATATGTGGCAGCCACACCACCGCCAGCCTCTACACCAGCCACGCCCACCTCCATTGTGGAGGGCATCAGCACACCACCCCAATCGCCGGGCGTAAAGTCGGCCACGGCATCGAATGTCAGTCATGAGATCAATCATCGAATTGTGACAGCTGCCAACGGCGGAGTCGCCGCCGCCGAATTCAATTGGTCGCACATCGAAGAGAGTCTCGCATCAGGTAGGCATCGTTTCATCCATCCATCCATCCCTACATCCCCCATTGAATCCTGCAATGAATCGTTGACTAACCAAACCTTTATCTCTTTTCTTCAGATTGCAAGGACTCGAAACGCACGCGCCAGACCTACACCCGCTACCAGACTTTGGAGCTGGAGAAGGAGTTCCACTTCAATCGGTACATCACGCGGCGGCGTCGCGTCGACATTGCCAATGCCCTGAGCCTGAGCGAGCGCCAGATCAAGATCTGGTTCCAGAACCGACGCATGAAGTCCAAGAAGGATCGCACGCTGGAGGGTTCGCCCGAGCACTGCAGCACGGCAGCGGCAGCCTACGGTGCGCTGCTGGCACCTCTGGAAGCCACCTCCAACCTGCCCATGCCCATGCCCATGCCCGCTCAGCCACAGGCGATGCCCTACCATGCCACCGCTCCGTATCCCGCTTATTTGGCCAGCAGCCACAGCCACAGTCACAGTCATAGCCATGGGCACGGACACGGACAGGGCTATGGCCTGCTCAATGATTACACGCAGCAGCAGCAGCAGCAGTACGAGCAGTACGCCACACCGCAATATCATCAACAGACCCAGCAGCAGTGCAGTGTCAGTGCCTACCAGCAGCAGCAGCAGCAGCAGCATCACCACCACCAACAGCAGCAGCAGGAGCTGACCGCCTCCAACCAGGCCCTGTACCATCACCAGCCCTAGGCACGCACACACACACACACTCATCGATGTATCTGCCACAGAGCGGAACCGAGACGCACACAAGCACTTCTCTCGGCCATTTGCCGGTGACACGCAAATGCCGAAGCCGAGACCGAAGCTGCTAACCGCGCTGCAAGGCGCGCACAGAGGAGAGCGCACTCCCTACGGTGCCCATCATTCGGGCCCAGGACGAGTGCGCTGTGCGCCTGCGCAGGAACTGACTGCCAGCAAGGGGCAGGGATACTGAAGACTGCAGACTGCAGAGGCTCCTTGCCGAGCTGCATGCCGAACAACCCAGTGGCTGGCCATGATGGGTTCTCAGCGATCGATTATCTGCGGGCCAAACCAAAACCAAAACACACACAAAACCGATGATAATGATTCTAGATCTTGGAGACTGACACACACACACACACAGATGTTTTTTGTTCACTGTATTACTCTTAGTTTTATTAGCAATATTAATATTTATTTAAATATATCTATTTTTGGAAATAATCGAAAGCAAGAAAACAAAACTCATTGCATTTTTATTACAACGAAAACGTGAAGGGAACAAGGACTTTGAAGGGGTTGCAGAATGCTCTCGAATATGCGGAAAATAAAATCTGAAAGTTCACGGAAACAAACAAAAACCAATAATATAGTAACTATTAATTAATTAGTAACTAATTAATTGTATATGAATATTCACTTAAAATAATTAAATTAATGAACAAAACTCTTAAAATTTTGCATATCTTGGTATTGAAAGGGTTTCAGCTAGCATAACACCAAATTATTCGATGCAAAAAGTACAAAATGCCAATTTATAACAGAAGTACTGATAGAATCATTCCAGATTCCATATCCTCTCTGACTTTGATCACATATCCTCGTTTGATCCTGGCAACCACCCAACAAATTCAATGCGCAATAAATACCAAAAACAAACGCTTCGATTTAAGCACGAATCGTGCAAATTCGAGCAGCTGCATTTTCTTGCCCCCCCTTCCATTGTGCTCTGTCGCCCTATCTCTCAGATTTTCTATAAAATTCACTCTTTTTGGCTGGAGGAAAATGTCACATTTTGGTCGGAAAAACGGGGTCTATCTACCACCACATCCCCCCGGTGCGACCGGCAGCCCTTCGGCTGTTTGCCCATCTATTGAAGTGAGACATTGATTGGTCATTTTTCATTGCACACCCATGACAGTTATGGGTAACGCAACGGAGAGTCACAGCCGTAGCCGTAGATACAGATACAGATACAGATACAAAGAAAGAGGCAGAGGCACAGTCCCTGTGCCTGTCCCAGTCAAAGGAGCCATGTGCACGCGCATTTTCCTGGGGCATCATTTATACGACTCATTAGATAAGAGTGGACAGTGGCACGGGATAGAGGATGAGAGTAGGGAAACACCATCTGTGGGTTCTGCTTTTGGATAAAGTTAGGTGCGAAATGGATTTCCGTGGAGAGGAAGACTTTAAACTTGTATTTTATACTCTGTTCACTTCATTCAGATATTGCTATTGATTTTAAAAGTCTATTTCTGACCTTTGAAGGTTGTCTCTTCCAATTGCTTAGACCTTTTCCTACTCAATTGTGGCCCCTCTTTTAAGCATACAAAAGTGCCAAAGGCATTCCGTTGAATTTCCAAGTCAAAGGCTGCTTTCCCTCAGAAGTATTTCCCACTAATCGCTGGCCATTGCTAACTCTATACCTAGACCTCTAGCTAACATTAAGCAAGCCTTAAACAAAAGGCTTTGTGTTTTTTCTAAGAGTCAATTTACCCTACGGAAAGAGTCAACAATTTTCCTGCAATGTTTTTACAATTCCCAAGGAGTAGTAAAAGATTTACGTGTAAATTGCGAAAGAGTTACGTTAACTCTTCCAATGTCCTTCTGCGAATCGAAGAAGCCTTTGCCAACCGTTTTTTTATCCTTTTTATTCGCATTTCGCTTTATTGGAAAGAGTGAGGACGAAATCCTCAACCCACAGGCGAGGCGAAGATTCGCGGAAAGTGTCTTTGTGGGCGGAATCGTCTGCAGACGGGGAATGGAATGAGTCAAGGCTGCAAAGTCAATCCTTTAGCGTAATCCTTTAAATAGCCAAAATAAAGCCCGCCCTTTGTCAACACAGTCCGCAGGGCCGAACAACTCCCTCTCCTCTCGCAGAATTCGCATTCGCGAATAGGCGTTCTATTGTGTCCACTTAGCTGGACACGGTACCTGCCCATACCTCTACCCTTGCCCCTGCCACGGCCTCAACCATAACGATCGTAAACTTATCCTTTCGCAAACACGAGCAGCCTGAGATGTGCACCTCCTTAAGCCTTAAGCCTGGCGAAGGAGTTACAAAGTCATAAAAACAAAACACCTTTGTCCGCGCTGCATTGTCGGTTGGCGAATTATCCTTTCTGTCGCCGCTGCCGTATCCTTAATCCGCAGCCCGTTTATAGCCAGCACTGAGAGAGAGAGACAGAGACAGTAATAGAAATTCGCAAATTACTGCTCGACCCTGACCATGGCCCAGACGAAAGGGGAAGGGAATGGGCATAGAAGGGTATGGTATGGCATGGCAGGGCATGGAAAGGGCTTCGTAAGCCTTTAGCTGGAAGGGATTACATTACATTATCCTTATGTTAAAGATAAACACGGGAGAACTTAAGCCAAAACATTGGATCAAAGCGTGATATTCGAATTAACCAAGTGAAGTTTCCATCCATCCGCTGATGCTAATTAAGGAAGATCTGCAAGGACCAAAGGGCAGCCAGCAGCTAACTTCTCTAAAGTTTCTTCTGTGCCAATATTATTCCTGTCATAACATAACCACAGATGAAATCATAATCATGCTGACACAACGATAGGATACCCATCGGGTGGGAGTATCAGCAAGTCATCATAGAGGTCAGCTCAGCACTTCTGTTGTCGCCGCGCCGCGCCCTTTGTTGTGATGGCCACTTCTGGCCATATATTTATGGCGCTCAAAAAGCAATTAATTGTGACCCAAATCAACAGTTTCCGAATGGCTGGCAACACCAGCACACGGGTCTGATCTAATGGCCCGGCAAATGCCACCGATCTCCATAGACCAAGACGTGGCGCTGGCAATTGGAAATCTGTTCAAGAGCATTGGGGGGGTGCGGATATGATGTGGTCTGGTATGCTGGATGAGTTATGGACCACAGCGTTCAGATGTCGCCTCTAAATGCCTCATTTCTATGCATAAACCTTGTTGTTGGTTGTACTTTCCATGAACCCTGATGAAATCAGCGCCAAAATAACCTAAACCTGACCATCTAGTGGCGGCTAGATCAGTGCTGGGCCGAACCCTGCCCCGACCAGAGGTTAACATCAATATGTTAATGTGCCACCACCACCGCTGCTGCCACTGAGAACCGCCGAGCCCGAGCCCGAATCCCATGCCATCCCCATCCTCATGTGAGGCTGTGTGGGGATTTATGAGTCCACCGAATGCTTTATGGCGTGTCGCTTTGACTAATTTATCTGCAAAAGGCGACGGCGACGGCGCTGGCCAGCCACGAATTTTATTGTTAATTTATGATTAAGCTGATTATGCCTGAATCGGTTTTGTTTTTTTTTTTCTTTTGGTTTCTGGGTCTCTTGGCTTTTGTAAATAACTTTTTTTTCTCAGTTAGGTCCAACAAAGGGAAATGAATGGTTGCCAATCCCAAAAATATAATACTAAAAATAAAAACCAATCGATTTATTGTATGCAAATTATGTTTTATTTTTATCTGAATTAAGAAGCTACTAAATCTCGTCTTGGTTTTGGCTAATCAACACTCAAATCTCTTCAGGGACTGGTTTGGCTAATCAAGTCTCTTGAAAATCTCTTGAAATCTAAAACACAAAAGTGAATACAATGTTTGGTTTATTGTTGTTGCGGAGGGACACAGGCAGCTAATGAAAAAATATGTATTTATTTTGTTATTCTGAAAATGAGAGCGAAATGCGAAAGAATCTGTGGTCGGTTTGGTTTAAATGGGCCGTAAATGATAATTTTAATTTTTAATCAAACATATGTACGGCCAGAACGGAATAGTGGAGAGGAGACCCAGACCCAGACCCAACCACCAACCATCAGCCACAACGACAGAGTCAGAAAGACCCGGCATCCACCGCGCATTTTTGCGTCAAAGAGACCGCCAAAAGGCCATGTGAGGAGGAGGCATGGCATCCACGGACGACACACAAAACGTTGCACCGCTCGACGTAGCACATCTTGAGTGGCTGCCGCTGCCGCTGCTTCTGCCTCCGCAACTGCCGCTGCCACTGCACTGCCACTGCACTGCAGTGCTGTGTTCACGGTCATGGGATAGCCATAATACTTGATTTCATGATATATGCAGAAGAATACTGCACAGAGCAACTCATGATTCCACTGTTTATGGAACATCTAAGGACTGGTGTCTCTCCCATCTGATGCTGCGGGATGCTATGTCCTTTTGGAAACCTTTTGCTTACTTTAATTTTTTAATTAAAACAAACTCCTTGATGTCCATTAAGCGCACTCTTCTGGAAACTCCTGAAAACTATTCAAATCTCATTTAAAGTGTTGCACGTAGATGTATCTACATGCGCCTGTAGCTGTGTCACATGCCTACTACATTCCTGCTACAATTTTCAGTGGCGCCCCAAGAGGCAGTTCGAAGAAAGGGGTTACTGTGTACTGTATATAGTACAGAATCCTTTAATAAACTAATTTTTGATTTAAATTTAAATAGTTTGATAGGATTTAAACGGTAAATCGGTCAATCAGTAAATAAAACCGGCCAAAATATGAATTCTACACATATTTTACATGGCAAAGAACACAACCCAGCCAAGAAAGCAGTTCGAAGCAGTTTAAGAACTGCTTGCAAACGCTGCTGCTCAAATGTTGCTGGGGACAACATGTTTCGCAACATTCGTCCGTGTTCTGAGACATTTGCATAGATTCAAAATATAATCGCACAGAATTGGAAGAGAATATAAACTGCACTTAAAGAAAAATA